GTAGGGAAAAGTGTATATGGTCACCATGGTAAGATTACCCCCATTAAAGACAAATTTATTTGTGATCGTTATGTAAAGTAATCTTAACAAAATAAAAGTGCGAATGTAACATGAATAAATAGTAAATTACCGAATTCATTATAAATATCTGTTTGCCTTAAACATCATACGAAACCTGGAATAACATGATTCAATTGCTATGAAGTGTGTACCTGATTTGACCTGAAATATATATGTTTGAGATGAAAAAATCACACGATACCTGTTTTCGAAGAAAAAATAAACGAGACCTGTAATACCCTGATTATTCATAATTTTATGAAATATGTACCTGAATTAGCCAGAAATTCTTATGAAACCTATAAAAAACATATAAAGAACCTGATTAGCCATAAATATGTATATACCATAGCAAAACGCATCAAACCTGCAAATACCAAACATGTACGTAATGGCTGAGGGCTCAGAATCTGGTCAATATCATCATTGTTAGTCATCCAGTGCAATATCAATAGATATTGCACGTTGCTTATCTAAGAAATTTTGACAATCATCATAGCCTAAATAAAACTACATGAACACGAGAAAATACCAACACAGGAGCTCGACGACGAGCACAAATAGCAACCAAAAACCCAACAACATAGAGCTAAACAAGCTCGAATCAGCATAGTAACAAAAAACACAATAACATAGAGCTAAACAAGCTCGAATCAGCATAGTAACAAAAAACATCCACGGGAGCTCGACGACGAGCACAAATAGCAACCAAAAACCCAATAACATAGAGCTAAACAGGCGTAAGATATACGTAACTTTCGTCAAAAATTGAAGCTTTCACGTCGCTAGATTATCTTGAAATGTCTCATTTCTTCATTTTTGTTACCTCGCTTCTTCAAACATGCATTCAAGAACCATAATGTGCAGATGTAGGCATTTTCAAACTCATAAACGTAAGATCGGTAGCCACTACCAAATATTTTTCATAGGCCTTTCATGACTTGAAATGACAATAACTACAAATAATCATGATACACACCATAGCTTAATTCATATTTCCAAAGTTAGGATTGCTGTCATGATAGACACCATAGCATTTAAATAATTCTAAATCAAGCAAAAATCATGCAAAAATCAGAAAGGCGGTGAAAAGAAACAAAGCGAATAACATGGCAAAATTATACCTATAATTACCGAAATTCAACAAATCAAGCAAAAATCCGACGAAATACCCTCAGAAAGGCAGTGATTTTCCCAAATCCGACAAAAAATCCGACAAAAATTCGACTAAATTCGACAAAAAACCGACGAAATTCCTAGCTTTCGTAGATTCAACGCGCGAACAGGGAAGGAATGGCGGGACTTGGTGGTAACCCTAGCCAACCAATAAATTTCCTAAAAATATTGCAGATCTGACAAAAGGACACAAGAGAGTTTTCCTACGATTTCCGCTCGCTTTTGGAGGAAATCGCGACGAGCGACTTGGCTGAGGTGGAGGAGTTTTCCACCATTGGAAACCCTAGAACTCACTGCGAACCAAACCTGCACAAAGAAACTAAAGAAAATGAAATGTCTGAGATAGACACGATGTCAGGGGAGGGAAATGAGTTTCTGTGCTTTTTTTTAAGGAACCAAACAGCCCTTAAGGGGGGTGGGGTGGGGGGAAGCCAGTTTCACTCTTTTTAGAGATCTGTTCCCTGTCAAATCTTTCTTTTTCCTCCACAAAGCTAAATCACGTCAAGCCGACTAACTCTCAACATATGCAGCAGACCTACTCAGTGTTATTTATTCTCAAATATCTAAGCCCTGCAAATCTTAGTGATGAAAGAGCCCACGTGATTTTTTTTCCTCTCTTTTTTCTTCCCAACTCAATCATGGGCTCATCTTCTTCTCAATTTGAGCCAATTTTTATTTATCTCTATTAGTTTTCTCTCTGTTCCAACACCACTTGACCCCACGTGAGTTTTTTACGTTTTTTTGAATCAGAATACATGTTATGAATTGGTTTTTTCATTAATGATAGATGACATGCAACCAAAATTAGATGAGCTTTCTAAGGATATCATGCAATTAGATATTGGAGAATCTATGCCAACACAAGTTTGAATCTCTCATACTATGATGCGGTAGTTGAAGGTTGTCAAACATGCTCTTAATGGCTATCCATTTACTGCTTATCGAAGCCTTGAACCCCAATCATAGCTTACATTCATGAAATATCTGAATATTTTTTATGATCACAACGTGATTTTAGTTTGTGTTTTCCTTCTCCTTTGTGCAGCTTCGTTTTGTTAGGCATCTTCAAGTTACTAGTCCAACCAAGAAGCTGTTGTAAGACCTCCACATCTGGCATCTTCAAGTTACTAGTCCAACCAAGAAGCTGTTGTAAGACCTCCACATCTGTGCTCCTCTTATTTCGTGATATTACAACTGTCATTTTGGTTAATGATCTCACTAGTTATACTTTCTATAAACAGGCTACTACTACCTTTTTTTTGGTTTGTAGATAATATTATTTTAATATTATTTTGCCAATTGCATGGCTTGCATAACATAAATAGTTGAAAATGCAGTAGCTATCTATGTATCTTGTGGATTGGATTACTTTTGTTGATCTAGAGAAACGAACATGATGTACTTGTTTGGTTTCTGTTCCTCATTCAGTCTAAATTGCATCATCACATTTCTTGGACCTCTATACTCCTGAGTCACACTAATATTTTCCCACAATATTCCCAAGTAATTAATCACAGGTCCAGATGGAGGCAAAGCTACTGCTGCTGTTGAAGTTGGTGCTGCTGAAGCTGCTGCTGCTGCTGTTGTAGTTGTTGCTGCTGCTGTTGGAGCTGCTGTGGAGGCTGGACACTTGTTGGAGTTGCTGCTGCTGTTGATGCTTGATGGGTTTTCTCTCTGAAATTATGAGATTAATTTTAGCAAAATAGTGGTGGGTAGTAGGAAATTGTAAATTTAGTGATGGACTATGATAATGGCAATCAAGTTCCTAACTATTTTGTTGTAAACTTGTGTATATTCTCTTTATTTACTTGTGTTAAATTCTTTGTTGCTAGTTCTTAGCTTAGATTATTCTGTGTCTAAAGAGTTGCATCGATGTATTTTTGTTTGCCGATATTTACAATTCGTTGAAGTACATTTAAATATTGAATATGTCTTTGAAATAACTCCATGTTGTAAGTAATGATAGTTTTTGTCTAAAGAGCTTGCAAAAAGTGTTCTTTTGTACTTGTATAATTTTTTTTATTAGTTATATGTGTTAGGATGTCTTGTATTAGATAAACGGGTTATTCGGGTTATATGGGTCGGGTCGGGTAACCCGTTTAATAATCGGGTCGGATCACATTGACTCATTTATTAAACGGGTCGGGTCGGGTCAAACTTATACGGGTCGGGTCAAATTTTATATGGGTCGGGTCGGGTCGGGTCGACCCGTTTGCCACCCCAGTAATATCCCACTCAAAATTTGCTGAGCCCACTACCTCGATGACCTGTAATAATGGGCCAATCTAGGCCTCAAATTTTGCCGAACCCTTTACAAAAATAATATCCCAAGTACGGCTCAGGTAGTAATCCACAACACTATTAGGCCTCAATTAAGAACCGAGCCCAGTTCCAATATGCACGCGCATGACACGTGACAATATCTTCAGCGAATAGTTTACTGTACCCAGCGGAAATCCCTCGAAGCTTTCGCATAAAAAAGGAACCGAATAATTCCCCCTCTTCTCATTCGCCGCTTCCCCTTTCACCTTCGCCGAATTATTCGCGCACAAACATCGGCCGAATCAAATCGATTTTTACCCCAAATTTCCCCTTTCTCGCTCCTCGAACCCTAACCCTAGCTCAGAGCAACAGTTTCCTCTTGGATTCTAAGTAAAGGGTACTTTTTTTTCTTGATTAACTGGTAAAAATTCTTTCATTTTATGCATTTTAAAAAAATTTTAGCTTAGTTTTTTCAGAAAGGTTGTATCTAAGAGGAGGAGTAGGGATAAGCATCAATCTATACTGGAGTTTTGGATTAAAAGGTACACTTTGTTTTTAAATGTTTATGAATTTTATAGTTAATTCACAAAGCAACTTTTTTGTTTGGCAAATTTAGCTTGTGAAAAATTCTTGGCAAGTCAATTTTTTTCCGCTATGTTTAGTTTGTCTGTTTTCTGTTGCAATTTTAAATAATTCTCTTAGTAGTTTATAGTTCCACTTTATTTTCTAGATTTTTTAACCGAATACCCACCACAACTATCACCTAGTTGTCTAATTGTCCTCTTCAACTTCCAAAATGTAGGTTGACCACCTCAAAATTTTTGGAAGTATCCACACTTCAAATGCTTTGGAAGTGGAGTAGCTCTATTCGCACACATGCACACACATATATATGTTTATCAGTATATACATATACTTTTATGGGAGAGGCTTAAATCATCTCATGGAGTAGCTAAGCTAGTTATGCTTACTTACAAAATTATGCATTATGCAATAAAAGTGGATGATCAACTCTGTTCAGCTTGATTTACGGAGCTCATAAAGATTATAACGCAAAACTATGTATGCACGAACCAAGTGGTTGAAACTTGAAAATTTTAATGGTTTCTGGACAATCCGATTAAAAGAACCTCTTGATGCATGATTTATTCAAATGGATGATCTGTTCCCCTCATCACGATATTTATTTCTCAAAACAAAATCTTGACATTTCAAAAGTTCTAATTCACGTTGCATGTTGTCTCTTTAGTTGTGTGGTTATGAAATCGTTAGTTTTACACCATTTGATACATGAGTAACAAGAGCTTTATATGCCTAATTTTCTGTTCGAAGGCCATTTAGGACATTATAAAATGAGCATAGTCGATGATTCAAATTGATGATGTAACATAGAGTTTTGTAGGTTTGCATAACCAAAAGAATTATGCCATGGGGAAGT